CCATCACCACAACTATTAATCTTAGTTAGATTTCCATTAGTCAGGCGCTTTGAGCCCACCTATCTTGCCATCAATTTTATGTTATGCTCCCCCTCTGGTTTTACGCCACCCCCCTCCTGGTAATTATTGCACAGTCCCTTACTCAATGCAATCTGCTAAAACGAAAAGAATGAAAGTTGACCTGTACATCGTAATTGTTCAATTGTTTATATTATAGATTGTGTGATGGTTGGGTCACGCGTGCTTGGAAAGTGGGGCAGTAGCTACCGTGGTTTTGATTACTACTACAAATCATATGTAAAAGCCATCGATGACACACATGATGAGGTTGACTTAGAAATAGAAGATGACGAACATCCCGACGATACATTCAAAACAATATCAAAGGCACACGTTGTACCAGACGACCCCAATAAACAATTGAACTTACCACCTGACACAAGAGTATTGGTACCGTGGAACAATAAGTACTACACTGGGAACATCGAAAGAAGTGAAACACATTATTATCTAGTACGCTTCGATTTTAAAACACTTGCTTGGTTTTATAAGAAAGAAATAAGGTTACTTAAACCTACACAGTTTTGTGAGAGATAATTTCGATATTTTATTCCGTCAAATAAAACACTAGTAGACTCGTAACATGGTATATGGGCTCAGGGCTCATTGGTCAAATGGACGGGCTCAATTCCGAAATCCTGGTTGGGCTCTGGGCTCAAAGTGTTAGGCTCACGGCTCAAGAGAAAAAAAATCGGGATACTATAATAATAATGCATTTAATTTGAGTTAAAATCATTTTTAATTTTTCTGTGAAAGAAGTATCTAAAAAGCACTAATTTAAACTGAGGAATATTCGAAAAAAACATCATTTCCGAAGTAGTTCCGAATACCGATGAGGTTCGTGCACATGTTCCGTGAAGTCAGGTAATTCGATCCCATCTTTAGGTGGCGTGGTCTCTGGAATATCTGAAAATTAAGTCTTTCTTTTCTTCTAAATTTTCCTGCGTTGCCATCAAACGAGGTAAAAAAAGTTTTTGGCAATTTTCTCAGTTATCAGTTAAAATTATCGGTCCTCAGTTAAGCCAGATGTTAATTATTATTTTTGTGTAATGATTAACAACTAAATATTCAGTTATTAAGAAAAGTACRTTTTAACAGTGTTCTTTCAGGCTAAGAAAGTTCCCCAAATGGTTCTTCAGCTTTAATACTGAGCTTTGAACACTGTAGTTAATATTGGAACTCCGATAACTCTCTGAGTGTACCTCCTCCCCTTTTCTATGGTAGAAACTAATACTTTCACCATTAATAACGATGATAGAGCGGTTGATTATGTGGGAGGCTGATGAGCGCTGAAGGCGCGACTTTTTAGGGGGGTACGGGGGCATTCCACCCAGAAAATGTTGGATTTTTAATCCTTGGAAATGCGATTTCCAGCATTTTGAGAGAATCGAGAAGACACATACATAATGCATTAATTTTATGGAAATTTTGCGTGACTTAACAACGAAAAAAAGTCATTTTTGATCGTTCGCACTAAGCGGTGGTACCTGCCAGAGTGTGTGGTAGCACATGCAAAGCGAAGGAATTGTCTTCGGGGTCGTATCTTTTTTGGCGCCTGCATTCAGCGTTATTCCAAACTAAACATCCAATGAGAGTCGGTGTCACGTGACCGCCATTTTTTAAAAACAACAACAACAACAACAACAACAACAACAGAGAAGTCCTGGAAGGTTCACTGGCATGCAAAACATGTGCAAACAAAGGAATATCAGCTAACAGTTATCTTGTTAATATCAGTTATCAGCTAAATAAACCCGAAATTCTCAGTTAGCAGTTATTATTTCAGCCGTTTCTCAGTTACAAGTTAACCCCATTCAGACCCTGATTCAATTCCTCCTAATTCAAGCCATGACACTACTTGTGTTATTATGTATATTTTTTGTCATACTGTATAAGGAGACCTCCTTCGGTTTTAGCTAAGATCTTTTGAACACTATTCAAAGCAATTCTTGAGCAAACAACTTAAATGGGCTCAAAATGTTTGCACGGGCTCWGGGATCAAACATTTGGTGAGAATCGGGCTCAGGGATCAATATTTTCACCAAAAATAGGGCTCACTAGATCCTAGATATACCATGTTACGAGGAAATGTTCAAATCATCAAGTTTATATTGACAAATAAAAAAGGAAATACACCGGGTTATTGTTTCTTGTAATCCATGTTTTTGGGATAAGGGATGCTCTTGCTGGCTCGTTTCTTTTTTTTTTGCAAAATATTGTTAGGATTTCAATATTACATTATCGGGGGACTAGTGACGAGTCATGGAAGAGTTGGGATCCCTGTTTATGTTGCATAGCAGAATAACCAAGTAAACAATATGGCGGCGTTTCGATGATCGAAACCTGCTTTAACTCTGTTTTTATGGAACGTTGTCCTTAGAAAGAAGCTATATAATACTCTTTTATCATGGGTATATCTTCCTCTACCGATAAAGTYACAGAAATCAGCCCAAGAGTCGAAGGATTCAAGACAAAAAAAGGCCAAGACGTAAGACAAATATCCAGAACAAATGTCATCGACGACTCCTCATCTAACATAGGCTTGTAGATTTTCACCATTTCCATCATTTGTATGATTTTCAAGTTTTTTCTGCTTTTTAAGTGACAAAAAAGCTCYTTTTCCATCTTCAATTGTCTTAAATGGAAAAAAATGTCCTGATAAGTTCGGTATTTTCACCGCATTCGAAAAAGTAAAAAAAAACAAACAAACCCTAAGCTCTCATTTCAAACTTGTTGTTCCTTTAAATCATGGGTTAAATATATATTGTATGACTTTAAACGTATTTTATTGATATTATTCTAGTTGACGCTGGATTCCCCTGCTTTGCTGGATTTAGAACATGGATCTATCAGATATCGTCTACCGGACGAAAAACGAATAGAGACTGAATCTAAAGTCAAGACTGGCTACTTTTATCATCCGAAATTAAGTGATTATAGTGAAGGTATRATAATCTACATCTACAAAGTCACATCACTCAGGGAGATTCATTGGGTTACTTAGCTATCAGAGTATTATATTAAGGTTTTATTTACTAGTAACCTTAATATGTGCATACAAACCATGACTATATTTCTGGTTTTCATTAACCCTTGAAACACACTTGAGCGTATTTATCGCTATTACASTTTGGCTCTTTTGTTTTTTATTGTCTCTACGTGACTATTACGATCTATTACACTCTAATTATTACACTTGTTTCACGGGTTTATGAAAACCACTTTAGTTGAATGATGGTTTGGATTATTTTTCAATCCCTTCATTACTTACCTTAAGTGTAGAGAGAAGAGAACTCCAACGCTAATGCTGATATACACTGTAGTAAAGTGTCTTCCCTAATGATGCAATGTGATTGTCCAGTCTGTGAATCGAGGCCTGTAGGGCCAAAGTCTGATTCTTTAACCATATTGGACCATCKCATTGACTCCATTATACCTCTCTTAATCATTATCAGTTTATTTACAATTAATCAGTCAGACAAACAGTCATCAATCTTTTAATCAGTCAGTCAATCTTTTGTCTGTCATTATTGCAGTGAATCTGTCAATCAATCAATCAATCATGACAATCAATTTATGCAGTCCATCAATCAATCAATGAGTTATGTAGTCAATATGTCAACTAATCAACCAATCAGCTGACAAATCAATCAGTCAATGTGCCCATTATTTAGTCAATGATTRACTGAATGACTAACTGTCAGTTAGTTCATGTCAATCAATCATTAATCAATTAAGAGTTAAGTTTACATTTTCTTTATGTTCATATTTAGATGCTGAGATAGCTCCTGAAGAGAAATTCAAACTGTACTATGTATTCAAGGGACCAAAGAAAGATGGAAAGAACAAAAAGTTATATTATGTGTATGCAACCAGCATTAATGCAAAAGATGGTGGCATCAAACAAGCTGATTACCGTCCACAAGGTCTTGGTTATGACTGGCCTGAATCCTACAGAAAGGCAAACAATCTGTACTATGAATTGGGTTTCTTGGAATCCTGTATGTATTGTCTTTATGTAGTTTATAGATATTAGTGTTGACTCTACCTTTTCAAAGACACAAAAAATGAAAAATGTCCAAATATGAAGATTTGTTTAGACTTAATACTCCAGTTTTGAATTCTCTTTTGTGCAAGCTTAGCTTCAATCAAGCATAAATTTTTATTGTCTTCTTTGTACACAGAGTGTTTGCATTAAAATAGGATCTCTGCTGAATAAAGGAATATATGCTTTTGAGGTTAAGGCTACACAAATAATCTCAAAACTGGAGTATTATGTAGTCCTCCTTGCTTTATAATGCATTATTATTACTATGATGCTGGGCTGTCAACTCCCAGAAAATCTGGAGTTTTGAGTTTTTGAGCTGTATATTTCCTGGTGTCAAGATTTCAATGTAAAATCTCCTGTTTTTTTTTAAGAAAATGGCAAAACTTTCAATTTTTAAAGTCTATCTAAAGAATAGAGCCTGATTTGTGATATCAATGGTCTTTGACTAAAATKTTTTGGTTAAGCACTTCTAAATCATTGTAAAGTTACTTTGAATCCAATTTTTTYCTCTTCATAGTTGAATACATACTGAATAACAATTTATTTGAAATTTGCAAAAATAAGAAAGTTGTTTTTAGAGAGATGTAGATCCCAAAACATCCCCTGTTAGTTTTATGCATGTAAGCTGGYCACTATGTACAAATTATTTGTCTAAATCTGTTCACACTTTTCTCTTTCTTGTTATGGAATCTATTTCTTGATTGCTTCAAACTCTTTCAAAATGTTAACTTGTCTTCCAGAAACAATTAATAAAACGAAACCTGGATGCTTCCTTAATTATTAATTCTTGTTTGTATTTTGTTCAGCCGAGGAGGAGTTCTCCGACTCAGATGAAGAAAGCGATCAGTTGTCTACCGTCACCACGGCAACCCCAAGAATAGATGCACCGGTTATTAAAGATAATATTAGGTGAGACTTGAACCGTTTTGAGGGTCAGTTCACACTACAGCATTTATAAGCAGAATCAGAATAATAWAATTTTTTATGTTTAAACAGAAGAAACACAAAATCTTTTTCTCATTATCTTGTTAAATGTGCTTAATATACTTTTAATTTGCTCTTGATAGTAGCGCGAAACACCACCAACATAAATATGAATTATGCTTGTGTTTGTGTGGTAGTGCGCACTGGTCCTCAATTCAAAATGAAAATCACTGTCTGTCTTTCATGATGAGATTAAGGGAAGCAGATTTCTCTGCAGGAATGGAGGTCTGTTGACAGTTGACAGTAAATTTGAGAAAATTATACACTCAGATAAAAAAAACAAAAGCAAAAACAAAGAAAAAAACAAACCAACTTGAAGAATAACCAATATTTAACTGAGATATAAGATGGCTGTGATGGTTAAATTTTCTTCTATTTTACACAAAGCAATTTTTACCACACTTTTGTAAATTCTCACTCTCTGATTGGCTGATTAGAGTGTGTCAATAAGAGGACATACACACTGTGCTGAAAACATCACGTCTTGCAAGCACACTCAATTGAAAGAAAGGAATGATTTTTGCTAATGTTTAGACTAAAAATGTGCTAAAAAACAAATTGCACATGTGCCAATAAGAGGACATACAACTCAAAACCATGTGCAATATTGTTAAATATCCAATGAATTTATATTCATAGCTTTCATACTCTCTTGTTTTAGTAGGCTTGGCACCTCAATGGTTAGGGGCAATATTGTCCCCTAAATTGAGGGATGCCTAAAACCTAACCCATCTTAAGCTAGTCATGCTTGAGACTTACAAAGGAAATGTATTTCTCTTGTAACGGTTACGAACGTAGTGAGTGTGAGTGGAGAGAGAAATAATTTCCTTAGTGACGGAGGACTGGACACTAGTGCACGTGCTTGTATGCTAATTAGGATGTTGTTTATAAGGTCAAGTTGTCAAAATTAATTCAATCATTGTGGTCTAAGTTCCTTTTGCTTAGTTTTCATAGGAGTGTGTGAGTTCTGTGTGWTGGTATTYGTAATTTTAKGCTGYGTYTTTTGGAATAAAATGTTATGGGCTTAGACCGCTCACCGCATACCTTGTGTCTGTTTTATGAACTATTGGACGTAGGAGTACAAGGAAATTCTTTTGATAATCCACTGATTGTTTATTAAAGTGTTTGAGTTGGTTGATTAATTGACACAATGCTT